CTCCTTCTCCTTCTCCTTCTCCTTCTCCTTCTCCTTCTCCTTCTCCTTCTCCTCCTCCTCCTCCTCCTCCTTCTCCTTCTCCTTCTTCTCCTCTTCCCCAGAGGTGAAAAAACAAAGGAAATGTGTAAATATCTCTTTTTAACAGCCACTGTAAATACCCAGCTCTACTCAAGGCCATTAATGGAGAATGTTTAAATGACAAACAAGAGGCCAAACCCACCCACTCAACTATTCCCATTTCAGAGCATCTGCGAGTAATCCGTGTCCGTCCAAAGTAACAAGTGATTGCTGTGCAGTTGTGATCCTTGGCTGCCAAACTGATCCTACTCTGTGAATGGAGTCATTTTTCCACTTGTTCTCCGTTTTGGGTTGGATTTGCCTATTTTTTGTTTTTCCCTAGTCCAACATGTCTTAGCCTGTCCCTGTCTTTTGGCACGTGAATTTCCGCAGTGTTTCTCTTTGGAGTCTTAGGATGGAGCTAACGGGCTTGGGTTGATCAATCCAGCTTGATTCAGGAGGATCTCCGGAAAATTGAGCTCATGGCTGGATTCAGACATCCCCGATGGATTTAGAGGAACAGCTGTGCCAACACCAAACTGCACATCAGTGCAGGAACTTCAGGCAAGAGCAGTGGGATCCGCTGTGCTTTCCGTACCCAGGGACGCTCCCAGCAATGCTTTCTGTTCTCGCTAAGCTGTGAATTTTCTAAAAGGGCCATGCAGTTGAGATATAGCTCTATTTTTGGCATCGATTGATAGATTGATCATTTGGACTCTTTATATCACAAATAACTGTCCCTCCCCTCCCACCTTAAGAGCAAGAGGCAGTTCCAGGGTGGCCTTTCCCTCCAGATGAGGGAACCTTCTGCTCCAGTGGCCACACGTGGCATTGGTGGCTTGGGGGCAGTGCTGTCACACAGAGTGCCGTGCCTTTGCAACCTGGTTGACTTCTGAGTGCTGACTCTTCCCTGCCAGAGCAAAGAGGCACAAGAAGGACCCGGTGGGATCACCCTGGAAGGTAAAAAAAAAAAAAAAATCACCTGTATGTGGTGAGGAAAGAAACCAACTAAACTGAACACTAGGATGGCATGGAAAGAAAGGATAAAGACTTTGGATGACTTCCCACACCTGGCAGTTCTCTCTCTCTCTCTCTCTTGGGATATTCTGTTTGTTTCACCAATGGTCTTACTGCTTTTCTTGGAGAGGAACTCGAATGTTCTTTCAACCTTTGCCTTGTAGTTAAAGCCACGACTGCTACAAATCTACTTCAACCCAATGTCGATGATGTCAATTCTTAAGAATCTTTATACAGCGCAAAAAAAAAAAAGGCCTGGAGGGCCGTCCTAGCGCTCCCTTCATCTTGGATTTATAAATTTATGAACTGAGAAAAAAATATATATATATATCAAATATATATATATGTGCGTGTATGTGTATGCATATATTACAAACAAAGATGAAAATGGCATTTTAAATGTGAAGTTTTGAACTGAAACTAATAGTAACCAGGAAATTCAAAATTCAGGCTTGTTCTTCGGTGTTAGTTGACATGATCATAAACTAAAAACAGAAAAAAAAGTGAAATACTTGGAATCTTAGTGTCAGCTGAGTGTGAGCTTTTAATTTCACTGGTTTTTGTTAGTTTAAGTACAAAAGAGAAAAAGAGTTTTGATGTCATTTTAAGCAGAGATTTTTAAAGATAATCCTAGTTTACTTATTTTTAAAAGGAGAAAAAAAGAAAGGTCCCAGAAAGTTGTGAAAGAAATAATAATTATAATAATACTTAACACTTATATAATCCTTTATGGGAATATTCTGCTCTTGGCTGGAGCCATCTAAATGAATGTAAATTTAATTCAAAACAGACAGAAATGTTGTTTGAGGTCATATTGGTACAGGATCATGCTCTTAGGAGATGGGGACAGCCCTGTCATGTGAAATCTGCTGTGGCACAGAGGACCAGCAATACAGCTGAAACCACTTCCATTGCACTCCAGGTTCATAAATGGGATTTATACGATCCAAACACCTTTTTTCCCCCAAGTCTGCAGCACTGATTTGCTGCTCTGAGAGCAGAATTTGTTTCCCTCTTCCCAGCTCTCTGCAAAAGTCAAAGTGTTTATAACAGATAGATTGGCCCTTTGTCTTTCTTCAGATGCTTCTTAATGCTATTTTAGAATATTTCTCCAGAAATCAGGTACTTTGTTGTCCAGAGAGTTGGGGAAAGGAATATTTATCAGATAAAAGCATATTTGACAATTTTCTGTAGGATGGGCTTTCACAAGGATTATATTGCCAACACTGTAAATGTGTTATTTTAAAAAAGAAAAAAAAAAAAAGCTATTTTTTGCATGAATGACTATTAGCCAGTTTTCAAACACTATTAAATTAGAATTGTGGAGAAAAAGATGTCAAATATCTGCCTCTAGCTGGAGACTTTTTCTTGTTTCAGCCTAGAGCAAGAATCTGTTTGGATCTTTTTTTTTTTTTTTTTTTTTTTTTGCTGTTGTTGAAATGATTCTGAGCTTTCTGCTGGGTTTTGTTGTTTTCCTGGCCATCCTAGAGTGCTCTGCAGTTTGAGTTGGTGGATCTCAGTCCAGTGCCTTGTGGGCAAATGTCCACATCACCAAAACCACCCTCTGACCCTGCACACTGGAGACCAGGTCCTCAGCTAAATTAAATCAGTGCAGAAAAAACTGCTGTTACTGTTAGAATAAACTGCTTCACCTGGAACTGGGATTTGGCCTCAGCACATTGCTATTACCATTAATTTTTGGTGGTCCCAGATAGAGAGTCCAAGGATGGAAAAATTGTGAAAAATTGGATTTGCTCCTTAATTCCTTGAGCCAATGCTCAGGAGTTTGGAGAGCAGTGGAGTGGAAATTTCTGCTGTTGTACACATTGTGTTTCTTGTTCAGTAGAAAAATTAAATCTGTTCACCAGCACTGAATTTACCAGAGAAAAGGGATCTTCAATTTATTAGATATAAAAGATACAAAAAAAATTTAAAAAAAGAAAAACAAAACCTATTATGATTTAATTTCTCTGAATAAAAGTGTCGATGCACTGGCAGATTTGGCTTTTCCTGAGTCACTGGAATGTTCCCAGTGTCCCTGGAAGGGACGGGTCACACTGAATGTGGGCACAGCTGTGGGATCCAGACTGATGCCATGGCACAAACGAGCTCTCCACAAATCTCTCTGTTGAATGTAAGCTGCAGGTGCTGGCCAGGCGTGGCCACCCCACAGTGGCTGATTCTCCATTTGTTTCAGGAGGGAAGAATCCAACAGGCAGTTTGCTTCTCTGTGTGTGTAAATATCAACTGAGTGTAACAGTGCTTTGTTTGATTTTTTCACTGTGAAATATATTTTGGAGCTAGAAAGGCTGTGTTATTAAAAACAGTACACAATTAAAACAAAACAAACAAAAAAAAAAAAGTGTGCAGTGCTCCTTGAGCCATTTTTTCTACCATGTCCATAATGTATTTCCTGTCTAATTTTCTTATTTTGCTTTTATAAATGTACAGAAAACTTTTTTGTGCTGCAGGTTTTGTGACTATTTACTGTGTCTAACCACTGTTTTGATTATTGACTTGTCAGTGTGGAGTGCTGGCACTGCAGGACAATTCACATCCCAAAAATGAAAACTACAACCTAGGTTGTATAGGATGAGGCTGTTCCATTACTGCATGGTGATGTCACCTCCTTTTACTGTCACTTTTAGCATTTCTGGAACTCAGAGCCCAGGGAAAGAACCTTAAATGCTTAGTTTTGGGAAGTTTTGATCATAGAGGAAAACCATTCAAGTTCCTCTGCATTATTTAAATATTTGCATTTGAAAACCAGGTGTTAAAATGGGGTGGTAGGAGAAGGGATGAAGGTAGGGGAGTCCAGAGGAAAATGCAGTTTGGAAGTTAAATCCAGACACTTTATTGGGCGTTTGGCTGCTCCCTTTCAGCATCTGTCTCTCATTGCACCTTAAGGACAGTGCAATGACAAGGCTAAATAACAAGCAGAAGTGGCCATCAACTGATAATTTGAGTTTCCCTTTGCAAAGATGACTCTCCCTGGATTCTCTCCATCATCAATGGGCATGAAGTTCATAGAACCATCAACCAAGGCTGGAGGTGACTTTGAATGACAAATTTGGTCCAACCTTTCATGAGAAAGGGAGCCAGGATGAGTTTATCCCACACCCTGCCCAGTCACTTCTTGAAAAGCTCCCCTGATAGGGACCCCAGCACACCTCAGGGGAGGTTCTTCCCTTGAACGGCTGCTCTCACTCTAAAAAAATTCCTTTCCTTTATCAAGATGATCCCTCTCCTGGTGCAGCTTGTCACTCTTGTATTCTCCATGTGGATCCTTGTGGAAAAACGAACCTTCATCCTCTTTCTGACCACTCTTTTTGGTGAGGTCGCCATTGAGGCTTCTTTTTTCCACAGTTAAATTC